TGTCTCATCGCGTACCGGGTACTGTGTTCACATCACATTGTCTCATCGCGTACCGGGTACTGTGTTCACATCACATTGTCTCATCGCGTACCGNCATCACATTGTCTCATCGCGTACCGGGTACTGTGTTCACATCACATTGTCTCATCCCGTACCGGGTACTTTGTTTACATCCCATTGTCTCATCGCGTACCGGGTACTGTGTTAACATCACATTGTCTCATCGCGTACCGGGTACTGTGTTCACATCACATTGTCTCATCGCGTACCCGGTACTGTGTTCATATCACATTGTCTCATCGCGTACCGGGTACTGTGTTCACATCACATTGTCTCATCGCGTAATTTGTTGGGTGGACGTCGCACATACTAAAACATTGTCAGTTCACACAAAAAAAGAAAACGGACGTTTGTTGATTTTATATTTCTAGTGGTGTAGTTCCGTGTTGTCCCATCCAACAGGAGTGGTCGTCTGTTGAGAAGTGTTTGCTGGTCATTCATGCTTCCCTACTGGAGATAAGAAACATTTTACTTTGAAAGTTGTTTACATTTGTTTCCTCCTTGGGTTTCCATTAGCTGACCGATATCTTACATCAATATCAGTCACATTAGACGAGATATATTAAACCCTGTTGTAAAACCTTGTTCTGTTTTGTGTTTAGTATAACAACACTTATATTCCACTTCTGATGAAATCTGTGTTAATCATGATTTATAATGATGACTCTAAGCAATGTGCAAGCATTGAAATATATTTAATCTGTAAAACACAAGTAGAATTTCGTCGTCCTTCATCGACGTTCGAACTCATCAAAACACAAAGACGGGTTGAGTAATTAATTATTGATGTTCATGTTTAGCCACAATGCAAAGTGAAACTTCCGATGAAAAAGTAACATTTACATGCCTCGGTATAGGAGTGTACACCAGGTCCATAGAACACAGATACTACAGTGTACTAAGAGTGGGACGCCTGGTTCGTCCGTTGTCAGTATAATGTGACCGGATGGGGTGTCCTGCTGGGTGTCTTCGGCAGTATGTTTCAGTGAGGTAGCACTAAAAAGTCGGCATCAGTTCCGCACTATCACATGGAGACAAACCAGAACATATCGCAACCTCCCAAAACACACGCATACACTACACGCATGCATCTTGCACATAGGGGAGGCCGTCCTTAGAGTGATAGAGTGTATGATTGGCACTGTGTGGATAATGAAAGTGAATGTGAAAAAGAGCTGCCAGGTCATTTTTACAAACAAGAAGAAATGTATGAATTTCGATTACACTATGAACGGTAAGAACCTGAAGAATGAAATGTGTGTGAAAGATCTTGGTGTTTGGCTGACCTCTTCAATGAGTTTTAGTACTCACATTAAACGTACTATTTCCAAATCAATGCGAATGCTCGGTTTTATAAAACGTACATGTAAAAGTTTACATGTTTTACACAAATACCTGTTTTAAGGTCTTTATATATAAGTCTTGTCAGGAGTCAGTTAGAATACTGTTGTCAAATCTGGTCTCCTTACCAAACATCTTTAATTCACCAGGTCTAAGTTGTCCAGCGTAATTTTTTGTTTTAAGGCACAAGTTGACTACAATTCCATGTCTTACGCTGACACTTGTAGGGATTTTAATCTTCCTAGCCTCAAACATAGGCGGGCATTTTTAGACTGTGTATTTCTTTACAAATGTGTTAATAGTGCTTCTGATTGTCCATAATTAGTCAAGCAAATGTGTTTTTTTTAGTCCCTGGTCTTAATCTACGATCAATTCGTTTCAACCAGTTTTACTGCAAGAGAAGTAGAATAAACGTTAGAAAGTTAGTATTTTAAACAGGATTCAATGTAATTTCAACTCTCTTGATTTTGCGGTTAAAGAATATTTGCTATTACTAATTCCTTTTGTTTTACATATGAGTATCTGTTAGTGTGTATTACATGCATGACTGACTGTGATATTTTATACTTGTGTTGTAATGTTTCTATCCATTCTGTAAGTGGACCCTTGGGTCTGTTGAATTGAAAATTAATTATTTAATTAATTAAATGCTCATAGCTGTTGATAGGACGTTAAACAATACTAAAAAACAAACTAAACCAACTCAACACATACAAACTCAAAAGAGATACCACTTAGAACAACGCAATGGACTGCTACTCTAACCATTCGAGTGCAACTGTACAATATGTCAACAGCTTAAAGCTTGTCTCTTAAACTGAGGTGAATATAAAACACCACTAATATATTGACATAATCAATTCACGTAATAGTATTCTATTTTTTTTCAGCTGGTACAGGTAAACGGGATTGACACTTCACATGCATATTCAACTGTTTTTGTATGGTATTTATGATCTATTTGAATGACACAGCTTTGCAAGCAAACGACATAATACGCGCTCGCATTCAAATAGATCAGTAATACCATACAAAAACAGTTCAATACTTATATTTACGTTTTCTCTGCCTCCTATGTTCCTTTTTAACTTACAATTTATATGTAAAATTAAAAAGTCCCGCCTTATCGACAGTCCACACAAATTCGTTCAATAGTTGGAACAGCGTGTTGTCGCGTTCTGATTGGCAAACAAAGTAGTACTTTGAAATTTTAACAAACACTTCAATTGTATTCCACAATTCAGTATCAATACAATTGCGTATGATATGTCTATAGGGTGATTTAAGTTTATCAATAGAACTCTGAGCTGAAAGTTAGATTTGAAATTATTTCGATTTTTCCCGGAACAAAATTCGCGCATGGATAAACACAGTGAACACCGTAAATCCGACCTTGCCCTCCACAAGGGAGTTATTTTTGGAAGTTAATTCGAACTTTTCTCTTTGCTAATTTTGTGAAAAATCCAGACGCGAATTTATTTGTTGATTGTATGGGAATCTGACAGACTACAGTCGGTGGATTCTATAACGGCGTCGTTATTTGACATGTCGTTAGAAACTGAGGAAACCGTGGCTGCGAGACGAGTGAAACTGATAGCGTTTGAAGTGAGTGATCTTGCGACGGAGCACAGGGGTTCGTTACAAATGTCTGAAATGTGTATGTGGGCTGTGACTCATATCAGTAGGTCTGTAACATATGTGTCAGTAGGTCTATAGAATATGTGTATTTCCGACATTTGTACTCTGTTGATCAGTGCAGTGTAACAGACGATATTTCTGATAAATTGCCTGAGTCTTAAAATTGTTTCCATTGCCGGCATTGGTGATTTCAACCGATGTGCATGTACGATAATGCAGACATCTTGTTTTTGTTGTAATAAAAGTATTTTTTTTTTTATTTTTTTTTATTTTGCACATACATTTACAATGACATTGTCAAGTCTCGCAATGCCCAGCGATATTTCAACAGCCGTCATATTTATTTACATTGGATATTGTAGTTCCGGTCAGTGTTGTATTAATACGCTAAGAATTGTGTCTCGAGCTGCATGGTAATTAAAGTCCCATCAACGACACAGCTTTCAAAGAGGCTATATAGTGACAATGCCATGCAAATATATAAATCTATTGATAACAATGGTCAATGCTATCGGTATATCCAGTAAATAAAAACAACAACAAAACGAATGGCAGAAACGGTGATCGAAGATCCCATAGATTACTTCACGTCTCCATCATTTCATGTGTGTTGACAATATCTAGCGGTCTATTGGTTATTTTGATTTCTAATAAAGTTAACGTTATACACAGTGAAATTTTCCCAGTATTTGTATGACTGTGTATTTTGATCTATTACCTCTGTCCCAAAATGACTTTGCAGGTATATCTATTTTTAGATACGCGTGCCATCTGCATTAAGTATGTCTAAATGGCTTGCATTTGGTTATCTGGTTTGTGTACGTTTGTTTTATAAACAAACCGTAGTGACGTGATGTTAGGTGCGTCGGGGGAAATATAGGACGGTGAAGTTAAGCTTGTTGAAAATATTCCAAACTATTTACAGGAAATCTAACAGCTCGGTGAAGGTCCGTGTTTACCAGTCATGCCAACACCGTCTGGCATTTCTCGTTGTTGAGTTAGGATGACAGGGACGTTTAATTAAGTCCCTCCCTAATACGCTGTTTAAATTCTATAACAGTAATTGCTCATTACCATAAGCAGGAACTAATCAATATTCAAATAATCAATAACTTCGTTTATTGCAATATTTTATCAAGACATAGTTTGTTATGTAATTCAAATAGTTAATATAACAATGATATATTAAGAATGTTATAATGGTTCTTGTGAAGTTGCACACAATATAATACAAACGAGATAGGTCCGCATTCGCAGCATTAACCGATATTCGGGGGGGACAGAGAAAGGATTAGTTAATATTTGGTCTTACAAAAAATTGTACCCTGTATGGGGTCTCCATAGTTATTGATTAACCTGCATACAGACAACGACTGTGTTATCTACTAATTGGAATAACCTTGTACACTGGTTAACCTGGGTATAGTTACAATGTCCGACAATGATTCGCACTATTCACCGAAACTCTACAAAGTAAAAGGTCATGGCTGTGTAACGTGAACTTCAAACTATACATTAAATATTGATGACATTAATTGTAATGAAAAAATGTATCTATATCAATCTATTGTATGACAACTACAATGATAATAGAAACGGCTGTGGTAGGTAAGTAACAAACTGCAATGCACAATATCGGTACAGGTAAACTCCCAGAGGGTATTCCTTTCTAAACCATAGAAGATGAAAACGGTAACATAGGGAATCGTTAACCATATAACACCAGCAATAACGATAGAACAGGGTATTATCATTATAGAATAATAACAATATATTAATTACTGACGACCCGAGAAGCCATTATAACCAAAGCGTTTTATTCATTGGGAAATCTATTCTATGGCGTTATGGTGGGTAAGCAGAGTATGGCTGCCATCCTTTTCCCGCGAGGCTGGAACTACCTGCGATCACTGGCGCTGCTGTACCTGGCTCCTACCTGAATAGGCGGTGACATCAGATACTACTCACAAATCAATAGGCGTTGTGGTCCAGGTGTTCCGAGTACATGGTGGGATGGAGGTGGCGATTAAACCAGCGGATATGATTTTACGGGTTTTAGCGTTCATAGACACTTAGTGGGACGTGTTTTCTTTCTGTAAATACTCGATAAAATGAAGATGTTTACTGCGCCGGGCTCAGCATCCCTACCAGGAATGGTATTTCTCCTGTTGGAGATAGCGGGGACTATCTTCCCGACCTCCGCACAGATAGGTAAGCAATGTTTGTTTTCATGAACTGAATCTTCTTCTGTCCTTGTCTAATCAGTCAGGATCAAGAAACATCACGAGAAAAATAAATTATTTATGAGCAGTGGCCAAGAACTGGTCGAATTCATTATGAAACGGCAAGTACCCCATTATAACCCTGAACCGTACCACGGAAGGCATGTCGCTTCCGGAATTAACATTTATGTTTAAATAACCCGTTACTAGCCTGTAGCTGATCCTGAGATGAGTATTCCCTCCTTTGATCACTGTTTAGTAGGGGAGAATAAGTTTGAAGAGAGAAGTGACATACTAAAGGGTCTGTCATAACAGCTCATAGATACGGTTATCAATGAATGTTCTGCACAACTCATCCGTATCCTTGATATGAAACTTATTATTATAATCCCGTTGAAGCGTTTTTCTACTCTTTTCTTTATTTCTTTTTTTACATCAACAAATCATTGAAATTAATTAGTAAAAAGAATATCCATGCTGTTTTTAGTAGCTATTTTTGGTTGCCATCAAAACAAACTGAAATCACTTTGATCGATTGAGGATTTCCCTTGTGGTTACTATGCATCAAACAATGTTCCGAATGTCACTATCAGGAAACGGCCGAGTTCGAAATGGAACGTTTTAATAATTAAAGGGATATCGACCTATTTGCATTGCATGTTTAATTACACTTAATGAATCCGTCACCATCATGTCTAATTCATGACTTCGTCGTGGATACAAGGTCTAGTGTCCACGTAATGTGATCAGGGTTTCTGGATGTAATACACCTTACTTCCCTATGTTGTTCCCATGTCTTCCCTGGTGTCAAACATACTTAACATAAACGTAGTTGATCCGGAGTTAATACAGTGTATATAGTTGTAATCCATCATAAACAGATAAAGTTACAGGCTATATAGGTACACCATGTAACAGGTTTGATTAATTACGGAATATTCGAGAGGTCGATGCGTTATTATATAGACCAGACAATGGCAGTTTAAACTGAGGCTGAGGTAGAGGTCGATACCATTCTTTTAAATACATATTCTCTAACGATGAATCAGCATTTACCAAAACTGGTCTATTTGAACTGCCGTTCAGATCTGCCATCATTTGCGGCGATTCAAATGTCATAAGGTATTAGATCAGCGAGTTTATTCCAAATAAAAACATCGCCGGGTCATGATACTCTCTCCAAATTAAAAAAAACGGAAATATCGGATAATTACAACGTCATATTGACGGGAATGAGATAGAACCTCAACCATTGGTAAGGAGGGACTACGGCATGCGAACTTTCCCTTTCTTGATTGTGACATACCACTTCCCCACCTACGGTGTTTACAATTCGCAGTTTATTCGAAATTATGATTTTCATGATAAATGTGGAGTTACGAAATTGTCGTCATTAAGATCTTACTGAGAAACAATAATTTCCTTGTGCGATATAAACTTTATGTTTTTTATAATGCTCGTCAGTGTTCCTTGTGATTTGTTTGTCACTCTCCCGGTTACCACTTTGAGGACGTGACATTAAACTGATTTGACCTAGATTACAAGAAGAATATGACCAGGTGTTCTGGAAGGGTAAAAAACGGTTCTCCTTTTAAATATTTCTTTTGTTCCTATTTTCACCAACGTTTCATTAATTCAATTACACATTTCGTTATCATTTCGATCATTCCAAAGATGCAATGTCTGTCCTACATATTATTTTATTTGTTATATTGATAGATTTTTTATTCATTTTTATAGTTATGTTTTATATTTCAGTTTTTGATGTTTATAAGATATATACATGTAGTTATATTAATCATGGGATCGGCATTTCTCTTTGAATTTATGCTAATATTTAAATAAAAAAAATCACATCTAACAGTTTACAGTAAATATCTAATTGGCGAATAGTTCTTTTTGTTGTATTTTTGTCTTTAAGAATGCTGATAGGGTATATTTTTTCCTTGTATGCTGACACTATCTTCTATTTTGTCTTCTTGGCGCTGTGTTATATATTTTGTCCAAGTGTGCTAATACTGCTAAATTTCTGTACCTATGTGCTGAGGCTATTTTGCCCTTGTGTGTTAGAGTTTTGTATATTTTTGCTAATGTATGTTGGCTCTGAGGTATATTTTTTCCCATATGTGTTGTCTTTGTGCTATATTTTACCCTTGTGTGTTAGCACTGTGCCATATTTTACTGTTGTGTTTTGACGGTGTGCTATTTTGTGCCCTTGTGTGTTGACGCAGTACTATATTTTGTGTCCTTGTGTGTTGGCGCTGTGCTATATTTTGTGTCCTGGTGTGTTGACGCAGTACTATATTTTGTCCTGGTGTGTTAGCACTGTGCCATATTTTACTGTTATGTTTTGACGCTGTGCTATATTTTGCCCTTGTGTGTTGGCGCTGTGCTATATTTTGTCCTTGTGTGTTGACGCAGTACTATATTTTGCCCTTGTGTGTTGGCGCTGTGCTATATTTTGTGTCCTTGTGTGTTGGCGCTGTGCTATATTTTGTCCTTGTGTGTTGACGCAGTACTATATTTTGCCCTTGTGTGTTGGCGCTGTGCTATATTTTGTCCTTGTGTGTTGGCGCTGTGCTATATTTTGTGTCCTTGTGTGTTGGCGCTGTGCTATATTTTGTCCTTGTGTGTTGGCGCTGTGCTATATTTTGTCCTTGTGTGTTGGCGCTGTGCTATATTTTGTGTCCTTGTGTGTTGGCGCTGTGCTATATTTTGTCCTTGTGTGTTGGCGCTGTGCTATATTTTGTCCTTGTGTGTTGGCGCTGTGCTATATTTTGTGTCCTTGTGTGTTGGCGCTGTGCTATATTTTGTCCTTGTGTGTTGGCGCTGTGCTATATTTTGTCCTTGTGTGTTGGCGCTGTGCTATATTTTGTGTCCTTGTGTGTTGGCGCTGTGCTATATTTTGTCCTTGTGTGTTGGCGCTGTGCTATATTTTGTCCTTGTGTGTTGGCGCTGTGCTATATTTTGTGTCCTTGTGTGTTGGCGCTGTGCTATATTTTGTCCTTGTGTGTTGGCGCTGTGCTATATTTTGTCCTTGTGTGTTGGCGCTGTGCTATATTTTGTGTCCTTGTGTGTTGGCGCTGTGCTATATTTTGTCCTTGTGTGTTGGCGCTGTGCTATATTTTGTCCTTGTGTGTTGGCGCTGTGCTATATTTTGTGTCCTTGTGTGTTGGCGCTGTGCTATATTTTGTCCTTGTGTGTTGGCGCTGTGCTATATTTTGTCCTTGTGTGTTGGCGCTGTGCTATATTTTGTGTCCTTGTGTGTTGGCGCTGTGCTATATTTTGTCCTTGTGTGTTGGCGCTGTGCTATATTTTGTCCTTGTGTGTTGGCGCTGTGCTATATTTTGTGTCCTTGTGTGTTGGCGCTGTGCTATATTTTGTCCTTGTGTGTTGGCGCTGTGCTATATTTTGTCCTTGTGTGTTGGCGCTGTGCTATATTTTGTGTCCTTGTGTGTTGGCGCTGTGCTATATTTTGTCCTTGTGTGTTGGCGCTGTGCTATATTTTGTCCTTGTGTGTTGGCGCTGTGCTATATTTTGTGTCCTTGTGTGTTGGCGCTGTGCTATATTTTGTCCTTGTGTGTTGGCGCTGTGCTATATTTTGTCCTTGTGTGTTGGCGCTGTGCTATATTTTGTGTCCTTGTGTGTTGGCGCTGTGCTATATTTTGTCCTTGTGTGTTGGCGCTGTGCTATATTTTGTCCTTGTGTGTTGGCGCTGTGCTATATTTTGTGTCCTTGTGTGTTGGCGCTGTGCTATATTTTGTCCTTGTGTGTTGGCGCTGTGCTATATTTTGTCCTTGTGTGTTGGCGCTGTGCTATATTTTGTGTCCTTGTGTGTTGGCGCTGTGCTATATTTTGTCCTTGTGTGTTGGCGCTGTGCTATATTTTGTCCTTGTGTGTTGGCGCTGTGCTATATTTTGTGTCCTTGTGTGTTGGCGCTGTGCTATATTTTGTCCTTGTGTGTTGGCGCTGTGCTATATTTTGTCCTTGTGTGTTGGCGCTGTGCTATATTTTGTGTCCTTGTGTGTTGGCGCTGTGCTATATTTTGTCCTTGTGTGTTGGCGCTGTGCTATATTTTGTCCTTGTGTGTTGGCGCTGTGCTATATTTTGTGTCCTTGTGTGTTGGCGCTGTGCTATATTTTGTCCTTGTGTGTTGGCGCTGTGCTATATTTTGTCCTTGTGTGTTGGCGCTGTGCTATATTTTGTGTCCTTGTGTGTTGGCGCTGTGCTATATTTTGTCCTTGTGTGTTGGCGCTGTGCTATATTTTGTCCTTGTGTGTTGGCGCTGTGCTATATTTTGTGTCCTTGTGTGTTGGCGCTGTGCTATATTTTGTCCTTGTGTGTTGGCGCTGTGCTATATTTTGTCCTTGTGTGTTGGCGCTGTGCTATATTTTGTGTCCTTGTGTGTTGGCGCTGTGCTATATTTTGTCCTTGTGTGTTGGCGCTGTGCTATATTTTGTCCTTGTGTGTTGGCGCTGTGCTATATTTTGTGTCCTTGTGTGTTGGCGCTGTGCTATATTTTGTCCTTGTGTGTTGGCGCTGTGCTATATTTTGTCCTTGTGTGTTGGCGCTGTGCTATATTTTGTGTCCTTGTGTGTTGGCGCTGTGCTATATTTTGTCCTTGTGTGTTGGCGCTGTGCTATATTTTGTCCTTGTGTGTTGGCGCTGTGCTATATTTTGTGTCCTTGTGTGTTGGCGCTGTGCTATATTTTGTCCTTGTGTGTTGGCGCTGTGCTATATTTTGTCCTTGTGTGTTGGCGCTGTGCTATATTTTGTGTCCTTGTGTGTTGGCGCTGTGCTATATTTTGTCCTTGTGTGTTGGCGCTGTGCTATATTTTGTCCTTGTGTGTTGGCGCTGTGCTATATTTTGTGTCCTTGTGTGTTGGCGCTGTGCTATATTTTGTCCTTGTGTGTTGGCGCTGTGCTATATTTTGTCCTTGTGTGTTGGCGCTGTGCTATATTTTGTGTCCTTGTGTGTTGGCGCTGTGC